GAACCTGGGGTGCCAGATGCCGAGACCCGCTGGAAAATGAGGCAGAGACTGGGGAAGATGGGGTGTAACTGGGAATTGAACCCGTAGGTCCTGGTAGAGAACGGTGCACCCCTTCATTTCTAAATGACTCCTCTCCTCTCCTTGGCAGAAGTTTGAAAAGAAATTTCAGTCTGAGAAGGCAGCAGGCTCTGTGTCCAAGAGCACGCAGTTTGAGTATGCCTGGTGCTTGGTGCGAAGCAAGTACAACGATGACATCCGTAAAGGCATCGCACTGCTGGAGGGTGAGTTTCTAGGCTACCCCACCCTCCCCTTCCCAGCTGCTGCCATGGCCTCGTTCACTCCCTCCATCTTCAGTGCTGGGATTCTTTTTCCTTTTTAAAAAAATATTTATTTATTTGACAGAGAGACAGACAGAGATCACAAGCGGGCAGAGAGGCAGGGAGAGGGAGAAGCAGGCTCCCCACTGAGCAGAGAGCCCGATGTGGGGCTCAATCCCAGGACCCTGAGATCATGACCCGAGCAGAAGGCAGGCTTAACCCGCTGAGCCACCCAGGTGCCCCTGGGATTCTTTCTCGACATGGCAGTTATTTTCCTGTAAACACCTGCAACGAAGGGCTGCCCCTTCACCTGGCTTCTCCCAGTGTGCTTTTGGCTAATCCACCTCATCCTTGTTTCGCCAGCGTATGTCAGTCCCTGCAGGCCTCTGGCGATCTGGTAGCCTGACCTGTAGAGTGACTTAGTCTGAGGTCACACAGCTCGTGAATTAGCGGCTGAATGAGGACTGGAAGCTCCTGTCTTGCTCTTTGGCCTCACCATGTTGCTTATTCAGCAGCTGTTGAAAACCTTCCATGAGGGCGGTGTGGAAGAAGTGCAGAAGACAGGCCCCGGAACCTGGGGGAAGATGGCACTGTTTTGACTGGAATCCTATTTCCTGTTGGTTTTGGATGGGCTACCATTTGCCAGAGGCCACAATACCTGACTTTTAAATTCCTCTGTCCCCTCTACCCCCTTTTCTTGGCCAGATAATCATGCGCAGGCAAACAGCATCCTAGCAAAGGATGGCCATTGTCAGTTGATAAAAATAAGAATCGTTTCTAATGCAAATAACCTCACCCTGCATTTGCCCGTTTGGCTCTTTCAGATTTTTCATCTTCCCTCTGCAGCTCGGCGCAGCTGTAGGTGGGGTTTCTAAGCGTTGCCAGTTCCAGTGGAGAAGACAGAACAGACACGTGGGGAGATTTATAAACACCTGCGAAACTATTTAGGCACAAATTCTACTGCATAGTGTACAGCTGAGCACATAGGACCCTGGGAAGTCACTGAATTAAGAAAGGCCCCTGGGTGGCTCAGTGGGTTAAGCCTCTGCCTTCGGCTCAGGTCATGATCTCAGGGTCCTGGGATTGAGCCCCACATCGGGCTCTCTGCTCAGTGGGGAGCCTGCTTCTCCCTCTCTCTCTGCCTGCCTCTCTGCCTACTTGTGATCTCTGTCTGTCAAATAAATAAATAAATCTAAAAAAAAAGAATCAGGTCGAGTCATTTCAGAAGAGTTTTGAGTTGATTTTTTATTTAAAGGGGGAGAGAGGGCAAACTTAGTCTGGACAGCAGACGGCCGCAGTGAGAACGCATAGCAGGGACCAGAGGTGAGGAGAGCGGTCTTTGGCTTCTCCGGCACCTCGGTTTCCTCTCGGTTCCCTCGGATGAGCCCGAGCAGACGGCAGCATTGAGACCAGGGTGCACAGCAGCGGCCGGGTGTCTGGCAGTCTACGCCCATGCCGCCCCGGAGGTCTGACTGGGAAGCCGGGAGGGACCGGAGCTGAAACGAAGCTCAGGACGGTGTCCTTCAGCTAGGATCAGACAGGGATTCGGAGGGGGAAGGGGTGTCTGGGACACCAGCGCTAGGAAAGGAGAGAAGCGGTGTTCATCCTTCTGCCTCTGCCCTCTGCAGAGCTGTTGCCCAAAGGGAGTAAAGAGGAACAGCGGGATTATGTCTTCTACCTGGCCGTGGGCAACTACCGGCTCAAGGTAAGGCGGAGCGTTCCATCTCCCCCTGCACCCTGCTGGGGTGGGCTGCAGCGCACGCTCGCTGCTCCTCCGGGGGCCCTCCAGAGCCCTGGCCGCCAGGAAGGCTGAGGAGGGCTGTGGGCAGGGAGTGGTGAGGGGTACAGAGGTGCAGGGTGAGAGTCGGCTGAGGGAAGGCAAGTGACAGATTCCAGCTGCTGAGGGTGTGGGGAGTAAGGTGACCTCAGGTGGGGTGCAGCCCCAAGCCTCGGGTTATCTCCCCCAGCTTATCACCCCCACACAGTTGGGGTTGTTTGTGGACTCTACTCCGCTGGGTGGGGCTGGAGTCAGGGAGGAGGTGGAGGGAGGAGCCCCAGGGCCCGGCGAAGGGACGGCCGAAGGGACGGCCGCTCTGATGAGCAGGAGAAGGGATCGATCCTGAGCGGGGGGCGTGCGTGGTGTGTTTTCCCCGAGAGCAGGAATATGAGAAGGCGTTAAAGTACGTGCGGGGGCTGCTGCAGACGGAGCCCCAGAACAGCCAGGCCAAGGAACTGGAACGGCTCATTGACAAGGCCATGAAGAAAGGTGAACCCTTCCCCTCTGCCCTCCTCCACTCTCCACTCCCCTTGCTCCCGGGCCCCGTCATGCCTCTCGGCTCTTGGTTAAGTCCTCTTCCTTCCCCCAGGCCTGGGCTGTCTGGTCTCCCTTTAAATGACGCCCTCCTCCTCAGGCAGCTCCTCAGTGGCTCAGAAGCCTTCTTTCTCCAAGCCCGAGGCCCTCACCTTATGACTCCGGGGGAGGAGGCACGTCCGTTGAGGCGCACTGGGCAGGGAGAAAGAAGGTGGTGGGCAGCGTCCCTGTGGGGGCTGGGCTCCTGACCGTCTCCCTTTTCCCTTCCCCAGATGGCCTAGTGGGCATGGCCATTGTTGGAGGCATGGCCCTGGGCGTGGCAGGCCTGGCTGGACTCATCGGACTTGCTGTGTCCAAGTCCAAATCCTGAGTGAAACCGCGCCTCTGCCCGGGGATACGTGGGAGCCTATGGAGGACACTCGGAGAGGACGGGACCCATCCATCCTTGCTGTCCCTGTCTTCTGCACCCCATCACTGCCCTCTGGCGTTCAGCCTCCTTTCCCCAGAGATGTGTCCCGTAGCCCCAAACCATGTGCTCCAGGAGGAGTGTAAATAAAACAGCCTTGGCTTGGGAACTGCTGTGTCCGTGTTGAGGAAGGGGTGGGCTCTTTGGGGCCCAAAGGTGGTGGTCATGCGTGGTCCTTTGCTGCTCACTTTCCTACTCCTGTCCCCCACGGCTGGTGTGGGGTGTGCCTTTGTCCGCCAAGCTGCCCAGACCCCACGCCCTTCCTTCCTCCCCCACCCCCAAAGCAGATCGGGGACAGGGGACGGGGACGAGGCCTTTGCATGGCGCAAGAGTCCTGGGAGAAAACAGTGACTAGAGATGGGAAGGGCAGAGCTGGGGGGGACAGGCCAGGATTTATGTCTCCGGTCTCCTCTGACCCACACAGCTGCCTCAGCACGTGGAGTTTTCCACACCAGGGGGCCCCCCCCATTCAATTTCCTCCAAAACCTCCGCCCTTCCCTCTCTTTGTCCTCCTGCCTTTCCCCTCCCCATCCTCCTTAGGGGATGGGCCGCTGCCCAGGGGCGGGCATGGGGATTTGGCACGGAGATGTCAGAGTTCTTGAGAAAAGTTACAAACTCAGGACATCCCGGTTGTCGGCTCAGGGATGGGAAGGTCGGAACCCAGTCCCCACCCAGCCTGCTTTGCCCCACACCCGCCCGGTGCCAGGCTCAGCATGGGCCTGTCTTGCTTCACTGCATACCTCTCGTTCCACAGCCCAGCCAGCCTGGTTGGGGGGGACTGGGGAGGCGGCACCTGAAGGGAGCGCACGGGAGCCTGATACCGTGAGGGGGGCAGAGGGGGATCCACTCTGGCTCAGCCATGTCCTGGGTGACTGCCTGGGGGTAGCATCCAGCCCCTGACCCCCGGAGACTGAGCCCCTGTGGCATTTGCAGGAGGAGAACCCAAGCTGTCCTGGCCGAGGCCTAGGAGCAGGAAATGCTCCAGGACAGGTGCTCAGCAGGTGCTCAGCGTTGGCCTGGGGTGGGGACCCGGAGATTTCTAATCCACCATAATTAATAGAGCTGGTGACAGTTCTGATAACTGAGCTGCTTAGATTAGCGACGGGATCACTTTCTGGGCCTGTGATTTATCCCCCTCCGCGGCCCATGGCAGCAAGATCAAGCTTGGTGCCGAGAGTCAGAAGATCAACCCACAAGGGGGAGATTTAAGTTCAGGAAGTTGAAGTTTGGAGGAAAGCCGCCCACTGGCGGCCTCACCCCAGCCTGCACTACCCAGACCTGCGGGGGTACCAAGGAGGGAGCAGTTCACACTTTTGGGGAGCTTCTGATCTGGGGTCATGGGTGAGGAAGCTGGTTCTAGTTCACAGAAGCAGAAGCAAGCTCGCGGGGCTCTGGGAAACGCTGGGTCTGGTTTGACTCTGGGTTGGCTGGACTCCAGAGCGGTGGGTATACCCTGTTCCCTTATGCAGCCTTAGCCTACCTTGGAAGATCGGGCCCAAACGCTAGGTCTTTTGCGTCTCCTAAATTGTTCTCACCAACATCCAGGAGAGTGGCTCTGTGCCCCGGATCCTGCCACACCAAAGGTATGTCTGGGAGCACACACTGTCTCTCGGTCACCTTCTCTGTCCTCGTCCCTCTTCGTCCATTCTCTGGCCCCCCGATGAAGGCTGAGTCAGAGACGCTTCCCCTCGGCTCCCACCGCCTCCTGTGGGGGCCCCTCCTTGACTGTATCCGTTTGTTCCGTCACTCCCATAAGTCCTCTCCGCCCCCCTCCTGGGGCGGGGAGCCCGGAGCTTGGGGGAGGGGGTGGACTTTTGGCCCGTTTCTTTTATTCCCTCCATCTCTTCGTCAACAGCCTGGTGCTGGAGGCTCATTCCTCTGCCCAGACCTTCCAGGAAGCAGAGACCCGGAGAGAGGGCCGGGGACGGAAACCGGGAGACAGACCCGAGGCCCAGACTGCAGCCGACCTCCCTTTCTCTCGCCCCAGCCTGCCTTAGCACCCCACCTTAGCCGAAGCCCCTCAAGGTCTCGCGGGGCTCAGCCCCTCCCCTTCTCTGGGGCCCCCGGGCGCCCCTCGGGGCCCTGCGTCCCACCATGTCACTGGCCGTGGAGACCTTCGGCTTCTTCATGGGAGCCCTGGGGCTGCTGATGCTGGGGGTGACCCTGTCACACAGCTCCTGGCGCGTGTCCACCGTGCACGGGAACGTCATCACCACCAACACCATCTTCGAGAACCTCTGGTTCAGCTGTGCCACCGACTCCATGGGAGTCTACAACTGCCGGGAGTTTCCGTCCTTGCTGGCCCTCTCTGGTATGCGGTGGGGACAGCTCCAGGGGGCAGAGGGTGGTGGGAGGCTGGAGGAGGGAGAGGCCCCCGGAGAGGTGGGCGCTGCCCGTGGTCGGGCCTCGGGCACCAGACCGTTAAGGGGGTCTGGATCGGGCTCAGCGGGTTGTGGGGGGGCAGTGCACTGTCTGGAAGTGCGGGAGAGACTTTGTCCCACATGTCCCCCTGCCCTGATGGGACACTCCTAGTGGTTACAGGCGCAGCAGGATCCGCCTGCCGGGCTCAGTTTACCGCCTCTGCGCCCCGGGCAGGTCAGAACGTGAGCTTCATTGGTCCCGCCTGTAGGACCCTCGTCATCATAGCGCCGGCTCACAGATGCTCCTGGGCCGGGATAAAGCACACCGAGTGTTAGCGGGATACGTCAGCGTGTGTACGCACACAGCCAGTTTCTGCCTCTTAGCTCTGGTGTGGGAGGGCTGGGATCTGCGGGGTGAAGAGGATGCCCCATCTTGGGTTCTTGGGGTCGAGACCCATAAGACCTTCAGGCTCCCGCTGGGGCACGAGTCCCACTGCCGTGGCGAGTTCTAAAGGGCCCTTTGAAAGGGAGCCTCCTGCCCCTTCCAAGTGTCCGCTGGAAGCAGGTTGGGGGGTGTGCGTGCATGTGTGTGCTCCGCGATCCCGGGCAGTGTGTTTTTTGAAGTTCTTGGTGGCTTGGAGTCTACCGCTCTTTTGGCCCAGAAGGTTCTCCCTGGTGGCTGTCGCTCCTTCCTGCTTCCTGCTCACCCTATGAGTAGCTCCCCCACCCCGCCCCAGGGGAGTCTCCAGTCAGTCGGCCCCAAGCCAGAGACCAAGAGTGGAGGACCAAGTACCCTATTCGCTGCCGCTCCCACGCCCTCCTTGGAGCCGTCTCGCTCTTTCGGGTCCCCTGCCGCGGGTGCGGGGTAGTGGATGGAACCAAAGCCAGCGCTGGGTGTGGAACATGGCTCCTCAAAATCCCCCAGGAATGCCAGAGATGCTCTGAGAAGTTAGGGTATCTGGGCGGGTCTCTGTGTCCCCACTATTCCCAGAATCTTCTGAGACAGCAGCGGGGGCCTCATGCCGCCTTCGCTCTCTCCAGGGCTTTCTGTGTGCAAGGCAAGTGCCCCCCCCCCCCGCCCGCCCCAAGCTCCGTCTAAAAGCTGAGTGTCCTCTGGGCCAGAAGCTCAGAGTGCTTGGGGGCCTGAAGGGATGCTGGGGACAGCCTGCTCAGCAGCCACGGCCATTGCCACCGCACCCACCCCAACCATACCTGTGGCTTGGGGAGGGGCCTTGGCGAGCTCGTCCACCCAAGAAGGGCCCCACTTGGATCTGCTGACGGAGGGGCACGAGCATGCCGGCGGGGAAGGGCAGGGGAGCACTGCCTGGCATCGCGGGTCGCCTGGCTCTGCAGCCTCTTAGTGGCCTCATTGTACCAAAGCTGGGAAGCCCCAAGGACAAGTGTGAACCTGCCCAGAGTCCCACAGGTGGTAAGGGGGCTGGAACCCAGGCCGGTGAGTCCCTCTGAGGCCATTCTGGTCCCCAGGGGGTTCCTGACTATCATTTAATCACATCCAGCCCGCGCTCCCTCGGGACCCATGAGTAATCTCCCCCTTGTCCACCAGGGCCACCTGGGAAGCCTGGGCCGGTTCAGTCCCAGGTAGAGATGTGGATGAATGGGTGCATAGAGGATACGGGGTAGGGGAGAGGGTGGGAACTCCAGAGGGAGTAGCTGGGAGTGAGAACTTTGGTCCTCCTCCCTGCCCGCCAACCCCGGGCCACTCCGCATGCTCCTGGCAGAGGCCCAGCTCTTCCTTCAGCACCAATGGCACTGCCCCACCCGGGAAAGGGGAGCAAGGTCCTTGGAGTGCTTGGCAACTATCAAAAACAGAGTAGGGGGAAGGGGACCAGGAAGGAAAGTGGCCATTTCCTTCTGCTTTGAAGAAGGGGAAACCGAGGCACCCAACATACCTGAGCTAGATGGGCTGGGATGGGTCCTGCGCCCAGGTATCCCACTTTCCAGATGAGAAACGGTCCTTGTCCAGTGACCCACAGGCCACTGCTGCCCCCTCCCGGTCGCTTCAGGAGGACGCTCAGTTGGGGCTGACTCGGGCTGTGCCAGGCACCCGGTGGGACCTAGAGAGAAGCAGCCACAGGGAAGAGGGAATATTCAGTTCAATTTCCGTGACTCCCAACAGGGCATGGTGGGGACCTGACAGGCCAGAGGTTCTCAGTTGGGGTGATTTTGTCCCTCGGGGATCATTCGATAGCGTCTAGACCTGTTGATCATCCCTCTTGGGACAGACTGGTGGTGACATCTAGTGACTCAAGGCTAGGGACGCTGCTGGACATCCGAAGGGCACAGAACGCCCCCCCACCCCCAGAACAGAGGCCAACGTGTCCGCAGCGTCAAGGAGCAAGCCTGTCAGGGGTGGGGGGGCAGAGGCTGGGACTCCTGGGGGCCGAGTAAGCTCCAGGGAAGGAGACCGTGGGACCCCTTCGGCTGAATAGGGCCTGACGGGGAAGGGGAGGACTTGAGGGCCCTTATGGGCTGAGACCCGAGCAGGGGCTGGCTCGGTCGTGGAGGGGGAAGGGGCCAGCTGAGGGACCCATGGCTGCGCCCCACCTCCCCAGGGTACATCCAGGCCTGCCGGGCGCTCATGATCACCGCCATCTTCCTGGGCTTCCTGGGCCTCTTCCTAGGCATAGTGGGGCTGCGCTGCATAAACATTGGGAGTATGGAGCTCTCCAGGAAGGCCAAGCTGGCGGCCACTGCAGGGGCCCTGCACATACTGGCTGGTAATTGGGGGAAGGTGGCGGGTGTGCCCTGCGTTGCGGTGGGGGGTTGTGGTGGCAGTGCACCCGGGGTTCCCTGTCCTCTCTGGCTCACCACTCCCTGTGGGTGTCTCACCTTTCCCATCGCACTGACACCTGCCCTCCCTGCTCAGCTCTACGCTCTCCCCCTGCCCACCCAGCCTCACTCCTGCTCTCCCAGTCCCTCAGCTACAAATCAGTCCATCAGCAGTGTTTCTTGAGGCCCCACTAGGAGCCAGGCATGAGTGAGGGATGAGCGAGACCCCAAGGTGAGTGACCTTACAGCCCGGCGGGGAAGACCAGAGTCCGGGCATACGTGCAGATTCGCCGAGCGCCGTAACAACGCACGGTGCGACGGGCCAGCTCTTTTCGGGCTGCAGAGCGCCTGCGCGCGTCCCCTCGCACGCACCTGTGAAGTAGGGCGCGTCTCGCCCTCTTCTCCAGCTGCGGAAACAGGCTCAGAAAACTCTGGGGACCAACTGGAGGAGCCCCCAGAGAGGGGTGAGGCTGGTCCTGTAGTCCTGGGTCTCACTGGCCGCGGGCCTTCGCTTGCACTAGTGGTAAAGGCGTGTCACAGGCTCTGGGGGCTTCGGAAGGCAGGAGGAAGGGGCTTCAGGGCAGCTGTGCGGGACCACTGCTGGGGCAGCTGGATTTCCCAGGATGGGTCGGATTTGTCGGCAGATTCCAAGTGAGGCGACTAGGTGATCAAGATGTGGGGCGGGGTGGGGTAAAGAAGGGGCCAAGGACAGAGTGTGGGAGACTAGACATGAAAGAGGGGCTGTGCTCGGGGAAACTAGGAGACTGGAAAGGTCAGGAGCTAGGGAGGGAGTGAAACTTGCCACCCCCACCCCTTTTGCCAGGTCTGGGGCTCGAGCGTGGCCCTCTTCTCCCTCCCCAGGTCTCTGTGGGATGGTGGCCATCTCCTGGTATGCCTTCAACATCACCCAGGAATTCTTTGACCCCTTGTATCCTGGGACCAAGTGAGTGTGGGAGCCCCACCCTGGGGGGCTGTGGGTGGGACTCAGCCGGCCAGAGATAGCGCTGCCCCGCACCTCTCCTGTCCCCAGGTACGAGCTGGGCCCCGCCCTCTACCTGGGCTGGAGCGCCTCCCTGCTCGCCATCCTGGGGGGCTTCTGCCTCGGCTCCGGCTGCTGCAGCGCTCCTGATGCGGACCCGGCCCCCAGGTAAGGGCGGTGCGTGCGTCGGCGGGGCAGGAGGGATGGGAGGGGTGCTCCTCCACTGACCTAGGCCCCTCCGAACCAGGCTCCCCTACAAGGCCTCCGCAGTGCGGTCCCCTGTCCTCACTGACGGCCTGTGCTCCGCGGCCTCGGACGAAGGGGACAGCACCTTTGGCAAATACGGGAAGAACGCCTACGTGTAGGACGCCAATGGACCCCATTCCCCTCCCAATGCCCCAGCGGAGAAAGGCCCCCTGACCTCGGGCGGCAGGCGGTGCCCGGACTCCACCCCAAGGCCAGAAGCCACGCCCAGCTCTGACCGAGCCTCCGGCCACGCCTCCTTCCTCCGGCCAGGAACCTGCCTCCTTAGAACTCACCTCGGACTTCGGGGCAGGACCTTCTGGGTCTGGGCGCTGGTTGGTTAAGGGGGTGGAGGCGTCCCCTACCGTTTGTATTGTGTATAAATACATGCATGAATAAATTTGTACTGTGAACTGTTCAGGGATAGGGGGTGTCATGAAGTGGCTGGCCAAGTGACCGGTGGCTGGGGTGGCCCCCAGAGCCATCTCAGGTCTTGGACCCAAGGGACACTTGTCCCTCTTTATCACCTTTGGACTGTCTCATCCGAAAAGGAGAGGAGGGGTTGCAAATAATTTCACGAGTGTGACACTCATAATTACAAGAGTCATCAAGGCGTGGATAGGGGAAGACCCACCTCTAGGAAACTGAAAGGGGCGGAGGGATTCCCCTGCCCAGCCAGAGCTAAGTTGCTCTTGACTCTCGACCTTTCTCAAGGAGACAGCTGACCTGAGCAGAGTTCCTTTAGCTGTGCCTGAGTGGATCTCACAGATCAACAGCCCTTTGAAATTGTCAAATCAACCAGGTCTCCTGCAGGCAGATTTTTCTGGGGAAAGTTTCAACGATTTCCAGAAAAGGCTCTCAAGGGCTCTTCCCAGAGGCTTGCATCTCGGTAGTGTGTGTGTGTGACTTGATGGTGTCCAACTCAGACACGGCAGTGGGTCATGGGCTGGCTTGGAACAGGGCTGGTGAGAGACAGGAAAATAAGGCCACAAGAGAGAAGCCTGGCGTCCAATGGAAGGAGGGGGACAAGGGCCCTAGGCCGGTACCTGTCCTCGGCAGCGTGGACCAGACCACCAGTCGCTGGGGTGCCCTGGGTTCTGATCTCACCCCTTTAACTTTCTCTTTCATCCTATTTATTCCCCTGCACTGCCGGTCCCCTGCGATGTAGAGCCCCCCACCCCGTCCCGACATGTGCATCCTAACCGGGCCCTCTCTGCAGCCTCAGAAGTACACGCACCCCCGTGCATCTTCCCCAGGCTGGCAAATTCAACTTCATCACTCCCCCCAGCCAGTTCCTGGAACTCCTGTGACCAGCACAGTCGACACAAGTCACACAGCTTGACAATGTCAATCACCTCGGGCTCTCCCTTCACTTCCCCTCTGCCACCTCCCCAGATCCCGTGGATTCCCCCTCCTCAGTGGTTTTCACATCCGCTTACTTGGCTCCCTTTGCTGCCTTTGCTGGGTCAGACCGTCATCCCAGGATTCCCCTGGTGGAGTTTCTCATCTGGCTAATTCTCTCCACCCTGCCCCTTGGAGCGCCAAGCGTTGTGCTGCCTTAGCAGCTCCCTAGCGCCTCGGAGGGATAAAGCCCAAGACCACTAAGGCCCCACACACTGCCGAGCCCTAGCCCACCCTTCTGTGTGGGGTCCCTACTCCTCCGTACATTGGTGCTCTCCTAGCGAACTGGATGGCTCACTGGCCTTGCGGTTTCCTACAGGTCTACCCAGAAGCACAGGTGCCTTTTCAGCTGTTAAGGGGGTTCCTGGTCAAGAAGTTTGCAGAAGTCTGTATACCCTATTGCCCCCCAATTCTCTTCTTCCAGAAAGTTTGTGGATGTCCCGCTGGTCGAGCCAGTTACATGGCCAAGTCGAGAGTCAGTGTGTAAGGGACTGCACGAGAGCGTGGATGCTAGTGTCATGATCTACCCGTCTGCTGTGCCAAGGACTGGCCCACGGGGTTTGCTTTATTTGCAAACCCACAGTGGGTTTCTCTCTCAAAAATGAGAACCTACACCTCATGAAGGTTCTTACAACTCTGAGAGGCCATCAGAGTTCCTCGGGGAGGCCGGTATCCTGCGTGCTCCCCACCAACCCCCTCCCAGTAAAGGACAAAGGCTAAGTACATCTCCTGACATCCCCCCGGGGCATTTCCAACCCAATCTTCCACCCCATCCCCCGCCCCACAGCTTCTACCTCCTTTCCCAGAGCCCAGCCTGCCTCTTCTCAGCCCTTCCCCGCTCTCAGGAAGGCTCATGTGAGCCAGCTCCCGCACTTGAGCATCTAAGTACGTGCCCTAAACATGGGCACTGGGTTAAGTTTTGATATCGTCCATCCTCCTGCATAGTCACGTGGCTATTAGGAGCTACTGACAGACTTACCCTTTTAAACAATACTTCTTTCCTTTTTTGCTGTAAGTAGTGTGGTGCCAAGACATGGCTTCCCGACCTCGAAGAGCTCCCAGCTAGGAGCGGAGAGAAGTGTAGACGGCTGGTTGCCGCATGGTGGGCAAGGTGTGAGGGCTACGGCGAAGAATGGCCGGTCTTTAGAACAGGCTGGACAACAAACTGCTGGAGGTCTTGGTAATCATGTCCATGTCTATCACTGACAGAACTCTCCAGATGCCAGGCCCTGGGCTGGGCATGCTGTCCTGTTTAATCCTCCCACTACCAGGGCCGTGGCTGTTAAGAGAGGGGGACCTGTGATTTGGCTGAGCTACACAGTTGGGAAACAGCAGGAACAGGATTTGTCCAAGACTGAAGACAGAGCTGGCCTGCTTCCTGGAATTCTGGCCTTTCCTAACTAATTCACATCAACTAAATTCAGCTCTCACAGAGGCCTGTAGGAGTGAGCCCCCCCCGCTCTAGCATTAACCTTTCCCACCCTTTGTGGGCCCAGGAGGAGGCTGTGCTGTACCCTCACTGACCACGGGGACGACCCTCTACAAGCTTTGGGCACCCTGCTGATTTCCCGGAGACCGGGGTGTCTCCCAAGGTAGAGACTGATCTCCCCAGCATGTAGGAAGCTGGTGAGAATTGTTCCAGGCCTTTCCTTGGGGAGTGTGGGTTTAAGTGGGGGTCCAGAGACCCTTCCTAGATACAGAACGTCAACGGAGGGCTCCTGGAGCCCCCTGGCATCAGAGCCATGCGGAGCCCTTGGGTCTGGCTCTGTCCTATCAGTCAGCTGAGAAGGCTGTGTCACTGAGTAGACAAATCTTACATCAGGCAGAATCTATGTGATTCTTTTCGTAATAGCGAAATATGGAATAATGCCGGTGAATTTAGGAACTAAGCCGACGAGACCGTGTTCTGACAGCAAGTCCAATGCAGGTGATCACACCGAGGTGACGATGGCATTTCTCAGCCAAGACAGAGTCTTTCATTCCCCTCCCACCCTCCCTCCCTTTCTCCCTTCTTTCCTCTTTTTTCCCCCTCCATTTTCTTCCTTGATGGAGAGGAAGACTGAAAGGTTAGGATCCAGGAAAGTTTCCCTGCATGGGAGAGACAGTAAATTCAGGCCGGAAGTCAGAAGCCAGCAAACGACTCCTGGTGTCCCAGTTACTACTGCCATGTAACAACCCCCCCCCCCCCCCCCCCCCCCCCCCGCCGAGCCTCAGTGGCATAACCCACTGGGTCATGCACACGGATTCCGCAGGTGAGGCGTCTGGGCCGTTGTAGAGATGGCTGGGTCTGCTCCGTGATGTCGAGCACATGGCCAGGAAGCCTCAAACGGCTGAGGGTGATTTGATGCCTGGTGGCCAGAACCATCTGGAGGCGTCTTCACTCCCACGAAGGAAGCCTGGGCTGGGGTGGTGCAAAGGCCTGACTCGGCTGCGTCCGGCACGGGAGCACCTGCGTGTGGCCTCCCTGTGCAGTCTGGGTTCCTCACAGCACGGCGGCTTCAGGATGGCTGGATTTATCACATGGTGACGTAGGGATCCAAAACAATAAGCATCCTAGTTGACAAAGCAGAAGCTTCTCTGCCTTTTACTACCTATCCTTGAATGTCGCATGGTCTCACTTCTGTCACCCTGGCTGAAACAGTCATAATTCTGCCCTGATCCCTGGGGAAGGGACCAAAGACTCTACCTTTTGATGAAAGGACAGTCAGAAAATGTACAGCCATCTTTTAAAACCACCAGCTAGAACTGTCCCCAAACCATGTCCTCACCATCAGACTTGGAGCTGTCCCCAACACCATGGACCCGACCTCATGTCTCCAGAGAAAAGGCAAGGAAGACACCGCGAGCATTTGGGCCAGCTATTGTCAAGTCCCAAAAGGGAAGAGAAGAGCCTACGAAGGTGCCTAACACGGAATTTGCTGGCTCCCGTTGATATCTTATCAAGGTCATCTGTTCACCAAATACAACACTTACATCCTAAGCATCTGCTATGCTATGTTCTAACGGGGTACAGGGCCTTAAGACAGCAACTCCAAGGAGCTTATGAGCTCACAGCTTGCAATCCACTTAGAGGCGGCATGGGTAGAAGAAGCTTTAATACTGCATTAAGAATTACAGCATCTGGGGCCCCCCGGGTGGCTCAGTGGGTTAAGCGTCTGACTTCTGCTGGATCATGGTCCCCCGGGTCTTGGGATCGAGCCCCACATCAGGCTCCCCGCTCGGGGGGGAGTCTGCTTCTCCCTCTGCTCCTGCTTGTGCGCTTGCTCTAATAAATAAATAAAATCTTAAATTAAAAAAAAAATTACAGCATTCAGGGCCACCAAGAACAGAAGCCTCCATATCATGAATTCCCCCATGCTTCTCATGCTTCCCAGGAATTTACGCATTTTCTCGGACACTGACAACTTCACACACCGCAGCTCCTGGTTAACAACCGCCTCCTTGTGACGACTGCGCCTCAGACCGGCGGCACCAAGGACGAGGGCTGATCTCTCCGTTGGGTTAAGGACCAGAGGCTGAAGCAGGGATGGCTCCTTCCGCAGTATCATTCTGCACCCTGTCCCCAGCGCTCACTCTACTTCCCTGTCACACGGTCCCGGCGACACTCAAATGATCCTCAGAAAAACGACAGGAACAAAAAGCAAAAGCAAGTGCCTCCAGAAATCACTAAAAAATGACACCGAGCAGCAGCCAAGAAACGCGGAGGCGGGGAGAGGCAGGAGAACGGGAGGGAACCTTCCACGGTCAGATAGGCAGACGGTGGGAGGGGTGATTGACAGACAGAAGGCAAAGCCACAGAGCTGTGAGTAGGACAAGAGACCTGTGACCCTCACCCCGAGAACACCCTGTGACC